AGAGGCAGAAGCAGCAGCGGAGGAAGCAGCGCACTTTCGGCTGGCAGTAAGAACAGGAAGACTGGGAGTGAAGGAAGGAGAAAGGAAGCGCTGTGCGGAAAGAGAAAAAGAATGCGCTGAAAAAGAACCAGTCGAGAGCTGCCGGAGCGGATCAGTTTTTTACACTGCCGCATGCACCGTTTCTCTCTGTGTGTGTGTCTCTCGGTCTCTCTGTGTCTCTGTGTCTCGGTTTGCTGTCCAAGCGAACGTCGACCAACAAACAACAAGCCGACTTGTTGGTTCACCGAGGGTGCGGCACTATCATCATGTACTTCCGCAACGACATACCGTACGCAATGAGAGCGAAGAGACCAGACTCCTAGAAATTATTAAAACATGCTAAAAAAAGAACAAAAGCAGTGGGCTTCGCAACGAGCATCCACCTAGATTCTGTGGGTGGCTTCGTTTTGATCATTCGTCAAAACCAAACCATTTTTTTCAATTCATTAAATCATTTATGGAATGAAAAGGACAAGTTCAGTCAACGAATAGAAAACGGAATGAAAACCTCAAAGAATACGACTGATGTTCCCGAAAATCCATCTGCTTCGTGTTTACCTCGCCAACGTTCACTTCTCCTTCGAAAGGTAAATAAAAACGACGCGGATAAACTAATCTACGCTAATTTTTGTACAAAAGTGAAAGACAAAAAATTGCACTGCCGCCAGTCAAGCCATAACTCAAAAGTTAAGCGACGATTAGGTAAACAGTGAAGTACTGATATATGACGAATATATAAACGTACCAAAATTTTGCATGTCACAAACTCTGTAATAAATCGTGCGATATCAGGGGTATTAAGAAGATTCACGCCAAAGGGCTATTTTACCATATTCTATATTCGGTTGAGTATAGCACAGTGAGTTGTGCATAGCACAACACTACTCTGTCCCGTTCGATATGACTCTCTATGACCTTAGAAACCTGGACATGAAGACAAATGGATCCTTCGAAGATTGGTAAAGAGAAATTTCACTCATCAATCATAAGGACGCAGATACGAGGCAGAAAATATGATGAACAATATCTGGCAAAATTCTTCTCTCGTAGATGCAAACAAACTCACTGTTCATGACTGTTCTTCAATTCTAATCATACAGTGTCAACATGTAAAATGACCCTTCGCCAACTGAAATGTTATTCACTACATGATTAAAACTAACGTCATGGACAGTTATACTTTATGATACGAAGAAGTGAAGATGTTAAAACATTTCCTCAGAAGCTTAATCTGGGCGAAAGGAAGCTCCTGATCCTTTAGCTACAATCGACTTAGCCGAGTCTGTTGAACCGATATCGAGGACGGAGAGCAAAGAGTTCACCGTGCATTTCGGTCGTGGTATGCGATCTCTTCTTA